GTGGGTTGACGCTCGTTTGTAAACAATGAAGCGCTATGGCCAACTGACGCATGAGCAGATGGCAACTCCCCCGCTTTAATAATTAATTTTGTTTTTTAAAGAACTTGGTGTGCGAATTCACAATTTTCACTGTAGTTAGCAGCGTCAACCTTTAACTGGTACATAATGACAGTCGTTCCCAATGCATAAAGTGTACAGACCGCTGTCTATAACCTTTTGAGGACCAAAGTCACTATTTACAAGAAAAACTATTGTTCATAAATGTTTTCAATAACTTTGATCAAGAAGTGTATCTGATAGAAAATCTGTCCATTTTATCCGTAATTATCAAAAAAAGGCAAAATGTTGCACAAAATTTAGGCGAGTAAAATTATGCCATTTGAAGGGTAAATATACAAGTTACAAAATAAAAACACACCTCTTCTTCTTTGGTTTTAAAATCCACTTTCAATGCAGATAATTCTTCACTGTGTTTGCGTACTTGTTGTTCCTTCTCATTAAGTAACTTCTCTTGTTGAGTGGTCACTGAATTCTTCAACTTCATCTGAAATAATAATAAAATAAAAAAATTATATTTGAAATTATCTGTCAAGTTTCATTTTTCCTGTATTAGAAATACACACAACCCTGACACAGATATCTCAATATCCACTCATCCGATGTCAATGAAACTTGATACATTGGTGCTCTGGGGTAATCCATTGTGCATATTAATAAACCAACTATATAAATTTGCCAATTTTAGTTGTCTGATATCTCGAGTAACAGATTGCAACGAAACTTTGTACATAGATGCTCTTGGGTAATCTACAGATGTGATTAAGTTTTGGGTTGAAATAAATTAGGCAATTTTCTAATATCTCAAAAACACTCACTTGGGTTTGGAGATTATTATCAAATTATGGAATTATTTTCACACCAAATTTATGTGCATACATATATTGATACAATAAATGACTTAGTAAATATAAAAAAAAAGGTTCTCAATTATTACGGACATTTATTCTGACTTGAAATCGTGAATGCTTGGATAATGCTTACAAGCAACAAGAAGATAAATGTAAGACCAGGGTTGATTAATTTTGCTGCATTGTACCCGAGTTCTGCACATAAACTAATTTACAGCAACCTCGCATGCAACATAGCTACTTACTGCAAAATACCTTATTTTGACTGAAGTGATAATTTAGTGAAAATAAAATCCAGCGAATAGACCTTTTTTTCTTTCTTATATTTTATATTCAACTCGTCAAGAAATAGGTGAAAATAAATTTCATACAAAAAAGGCAAAATGTCTTTTCAGCTAAAATTAATTCCAGCTGAAACAAATTATTTGACAGTACATTGTATAAAGCCCAGAAAACAAATATTCATGTATATCACTCGCATCAATTAAAAATTTGCAAATTTTATTTTCAAATATTTTTAGTACGAATTTCTGAAAAATCAGGAAAATGTACTGGGTAGTTTTCATGAAAAATCATTAAAAAAATAAAAAGGCCTTCCACGTTTAATGATTTTAGAAATACAATTGACCAGAATTTAAAAAAAAAATTCTCTGGTAATTATACATAATTTACCAAAGAAACTTGAGCAATGTTTTCGCTAATCACCATAGGTAAAGTGAAGTAATGTTTACTGTGCAGACAGCAATATACATCATACAAATTCCATCTCAGAGGTTGGTGAACCCAACTCCCACATCTCCCAGTCAATTACCATGCACAATACGGTTATACAAAGGTAAGACTTGAGAAATCTAAATGATTAATTGTTTGATTTGAATAGTAAATCACTCTGCCAGTCTAATGTAACTATGACAATGTACTGTATACAGACTCTTGAAAGCTTGGATTTTAGGAGAATTTACGTGTACAATTACTCGACAGTTGCACAGTTCTTCAGTAATTAGTTCAGGGAAGGTGGGAGTTTCTGATTGAGCAGGTGCATGTTACGTTTGTGCTATGTGCGTAAGTACATGTAACTATACAATGAGAATGTGGTAATGTATATTGCTATCAGCAATAAATATTAGGCTTGGGAAAAGAAATATTTTCTAGTTAATTTTTATTTCAGAATTTTAATTAAATTTGTGCTTTTATTTCAATTTTGTAGTTTTCTCCAAAATTCTGACATGCATATTTTTCAACTGACGTGTACAATAATCAGAAACATGAATATTCAGGTGGAGGGGGGTGGCTAACAATACTCTCCCAGTACTATTGAAAACACTGCTGCTAGTAGTGTCTAGATAGATGCAGGACAACCTTGGGGAAAACAAGATAATATTTACTGCCTAGACAGCACTATACATTACCGATACAAATGCCAACGCAGGGTTCTGTAAACCCAAATCCTAATCAACTACATGTACAAAGCACAATACAATTAAAGAGACACAAAGGTAAGAGTTTAAGACATCACCCAAAGAAATCTAAACTAGCAAGGCATGCTTACAATACTAATAAAAATTTGTGAAATGACAGCAATTTACAATACTGTAAAATACTTTATTTTACCTGGAATTTGTTTTCGTGGACAATTTTTGAGTGTTCTCCCCTGATTTTTGACAAGTTGGAGGCAAATAGAGGGAAAAAAAGTATATTCACTGGATTTTATTTTCACTGAATCATTCCTTCAGCGAAAATGAAGTATTTCACAGTATTAAAAATGCTGCTAGGATGCAGCAAACTTTTGTAAACCAGGTCAGCCACATGATAGCACACCTCTTACCTTAGCCATTGATGCTTTCAGTTCACCTTGTAAACGTTTAATAATTTCATTACCCTAAAAACAGAACACAGAATATCACTTTAGTAATCACAAAGCAATCATTGCTCTAATCAACACACCACACTGTAGTTTGACCTTTCAAGAGCAACACATACTATACATGAACGAGCCATATGTTTTCAAATTAGCTTAAGACATTTGGAAAATTTGGCAACAAGAGTTAGGGTACATTTCTAATTATTTGCCATATTGTAGGTGTAAAACAAAACCGGTCACTGGTAGCATAGTGGTTGGCGCATCAGACTCATGATTGGTAGACCCAAGTTCAAACCCACTTTAGGCTGAACATCAAAAGGGTCGACCCCTACCCTGGGTGAGTGCGCCACAGACTCAATGGGAAGGCCAATTCCACTGGCCGAGATTCATTCACTAACGAATGCGACTTTGGGGGAACCTTGGTTAAGGTCCGCAGGTGCTTGTGTTCGACCGGGCCTGGTTGACGCCAGGATAGCGCATAACAAATTGCCATTTGACAGAGAGATGGCCACACAGCCCAGTCATGCAGTCCCAAACATGAATATGACTTCTGTGGCAAAATGCACTAGGTGTCGTCACTAGCACTTGCAATTTGCACATAAAAAAAAAGTTAGGAGAGACAACAGTGACACTGAATGTCCGGAACTGTCGCCTGGCACAAAAAATATTTAAAAAAAAAAAAGGTGTAAAACAGTAAATTTAACAAAAAACACTTGGACCCTTTGGCTGAAAAAAAATTAAGACATTTTTTTAATAAATACCAGCTGATGACCGATGAGCATCTGAATCACAAACATACCTTAGTCACCTTACACAAAAGAAACATGCAAACATTTTTTCTTCTTCAAATTTTAAAGATCAAGCTAGTCTAAAATTAACAAAATTATAGAAAATAGTGGGGATGACATTCAAATGGTTACATTGATATACCAGTGTCTGTGGTTTACTTGTAAGAATCAACACTTAAAAATAAAAGTGGGTTATTCAAAAATAAAGAGGAAAGTGGGTCACTCAGAAAAAAGGGGAAGGTGAACCTAAAAAAATGAAGGAGAGGGTAGGTGTTCAGAAATGAAGGAGAGGGTAGGTGTTCAGAAATGAAGGAGAGGGTAGGTGTTCAGAAATGAAGGAGAGGGTAGGTGTTCAGAAATGAAGGAGAGGGTAGGTGTTCAGAAATGAAGCAGATGGTAGGTGTTCAGAAATGAAGCAGATGGTAGGTGTTCAGAAATGAAGAAGAGGGTAGGTGTTCAGAAATGAAGAAGAGGGTAGGTGTTCAGAAATGAAGAAGAGGGTAGGTGTTCAGAAATGAAGGAGAGGGTAGGTGTTCAGAAATGAAGGAGAGGGTAGGTGTTCAGAAATGAAGGAGAGGGTAGGTGTTCAGAAATGAAGGAAAAGGTAGGTGTTCAGAAATGAAGGAAAAGGTAGGTGTTCAGAAATGAAGGAGATGGTAGTCTTCAGAAATGAAGGAGAGGGTGAGTCTCAAGAAATAAAGAAGGTATGATGCGTCTCAAGAAATGAAGGGAAGGGTGGGACCCTTAGAAATTAAGAACTAAGAAGAAGAGGGTGGTTTCTTCAGAAATAAAGAAAAGAATGGGTCTCAAGAAATAAAGAAGGCAGGGTGGGGTCTCAAGAAATGAAGGGAAGGGTGGGTGCCTCAGAAATAATGAAGATGGGTCCCAAGAAATAAAAGAGAAAGGGTGGGGTCTCAAGAAATGAAGAAGAAAGGGTGGGGTCTTATGAAATGAAGGAAAAGGGAAGGGTCTCAAGAAATAAAGAAAAGGATGGAGGAGTCTAAAAAAATTAAGGAAAGGGTGGGGTCTCAAGAAATGAAGGAGAGGGTGGGGTCTCAAGAAATGAAGGGAAGGGTGGGGTCTCAAGAAATGAAGGGAAGGGTGGGGTCTCAAGAAATGAAGGGAAGGGTGGGTCCCTCAGAAATGAAGGGAAGGGTGGGTCCCTCAGAAATGAAGGGAAGGGTGGGTACGCCAACAATCACAGTGGTCATTAATGGTGCAACCCTTACCTTTCTGACTTCTTCTGAGGATGCTTTGACTGTTTTTTCCATTTTATGAAGATGTGATTCCCTTTGGTTAATGGTTTCTTCTAATTTTCTCTATTGAAAAAAATAACAATGTGTTAATTAACTTATTCACTGTATCCTGCAGTGTTGGACCATTCAAATTATTTTACTTCAACTTGTTCTTATTTTCTTTTGATATATTGTAAAATATTTTATTTCAGCAGGAATTAATTTATTTTCACTGATTTTCATTAGATTTTATTTTCACAGATTCATCCCTTCAGCGATAATAACGAAAATAAAGTACAATTTTGGATTAAATTATTGCCATGATTCTGTGTGTATGTTATGATGTGGGGAAAAAATATTTCATTCTAGTCTGACTGAAGTGATGAAACAATATTGTTTTCATTTGCACACTATTTATACTTTACACAATTGTCTGGGAAAAAAATACTCTGTCGTTAAAACGCAGCTACACTATGAAGCGAACCACCAAAAAACAGCTTTTATTATATTATTTTCTCCTCATTTCTGATTTTTTAAATTAAAGACATGCCTAATTCAAAAAGTGCAGGCTGATCTGCAACAATTTTTTTTTTTTTTATCTAACACAAGCAGCGTAATTCAAAGCACTATGACATGTACACCGTAAAACGCAAAATTTTTGCTACTAGGAAGTTTTGAATAATTTGATGACATTTATGAAAACAATTTTTTTTTAAATTGCTGACACTTAGTGCTACAAAATTTCCAGATATTTTATTGATTCACAAAATTTGACAAAAAATCTATCACTCGTGAAAATTAAAGACATTTACAGTACCTTCTGTTCCTGTATTGATTCCATGACATCATTTGTCCGGGTTATAACCTGGTCCTTATCTTTTGTCTCTTGCTCCAAAACAGCAACTCGCATACGTAACTGATTCATAGTTTTATCTCTGTCATGGCATTCGCTATCTAGGTTGGTGTTCTGACGCCGTATATTCTGCAGATCTGTCTTCACACTATTCAGTTCCTATTATAACAGGAAACAACACATGTACATTTTATGATATAAAGATCTGATCAATGTTTATGATGAATTTCTTCAGGGGTTGGCAGAAACAAACTAAGGAAGGTAATTCTTTTTTTCTACATAGACAGTATTGCACATGTCGGCACATCAGAGTTTGAGAAGTATTTCTGTATTACATTAACTATGTTATGATTGTAGAAATTATTTCACTAAAGCAGGGATAAAGATTGAGAGAAATGCAGGGTCCTACATGTAGATAGAAACATTTTGACAGTCAACAACACATGGAGCCCTGACAGATACAAAATAAGGTACATGTATAGGGCAGTATAGATTTATTCTTTGTAAAAAAAAAGATTTTGTAAAGCTTGAGCATTCAGACAAAAATGCATGTGATAGTGGATATGTAGACAGGAAAGTTGGCTCTTTGGCAAGTAAAACTAAGAGACTGGGGCATACTCTAGGTGGGCCATGCTTTCCCTATTTCGTTTCGTGACAGTGAAATCAGCAAATGAACAAATTGTTTATTTCTTACCTCATCCAATCCACAATTCTTAGCTTGTAGTTCTCTAATTGTTGCTTCTGACCTGTACTTTATGTCAGTCAATTCCTGAAATTTGATATAAATAATAATTGCAATGAAACGCTATATAAATACATCATAGATTTGTTGTATACAAATGTAACATAAGAATTATTATTATACATCTGTCACCGTAATGCCATAAGTTACAGCGTACTGTAATTTTACGGGGTATTTTCATCCCACCATATAAAGAAATGCGAATTTCAAAAACGGAATGATTACGTGTGTATTCCACACAAAGAAGTTCGCAAATTCTGTTGTAAACTTTTTGGATTTCGGCATTCCCATGATGTATCCTTGGAAGGAAAAGATGTATAATAATAAGGTTATTACGAGAATACCTTAAAGCATGCACTCAGACAGTAATGCAGCACGTCGGTCAATACTCCAGCTGTACTGTCTTTGTGCATACTTTGAGGTTTTCTCGTAATAACCTCATAATATAGCATGTTTGGTAAGTACATTGTACATGCAAATAAAAGTACACTTTTCATGACAATTTCAAAATAAGAATAACAAAAATTGGGGGAAAAAAATTGTTTTCTGTACCTTAGAGAGCATTGATGATCAAACATGCTTAATAGATTAATGGAAAGGTAGGGAGGGGGGTCGAAGATGATTTCAATTACTGTGTGTAATAATCACACAGTAACAGTTTAACCCTTTAGGTATCAAAGTCAACCTCAGGAACCATCCATAAAATAAGTTCTACTTATAGTCTGCTCTTTTCTACACAAATTGATGCGAAATTTTTACATCAAAACTAGTAGCCATGTCACATTTTGTCTGTTTGGTCCAAAATTAATTGAAAATTTATTGAAAATGGGAATGAATTTACGCAAATTGAAGCAAAAAAAATTAGGTGCTCAAGGGATTACCATATTTCATTACATTTATTATGTGCTTGCATATTTTAATTTACGAGGCAAGGGGAATGGGTTAATGTCCAACAAAGTGATGATGTTTGTGTGTTTGTGTTTTATTTATCCACTGCCCTTTAAAGGCAGACATTGTAGTTAACACTTGTGTTTCCACTTACAAATTATTAGAAGGACCAGGAAAACCATTGTCATCACCAGTTCCCTCTTTTTATCACAAATTCACAAAATAGTCCAATTTATAGTCTGCACTTTCCTGCAGAAGATTGGGACAAAAAATAGCCAATCTTTTGTGGTAAAAACTGAAAATTGACTCAAATTTTGACTGTTTGCTCTAAAATTAGGGTTCATTTCCAGAAATATTGAAGAATATGAGCAAAAAGTGCAGAAAAATTTGGGCAAAAAATTCTGATGGTGAAAAAGTTAATAGTTAATAATACCTTATTTGTAGACTCTAGGACTGCAAGTCTTCCTTCCAACTGTTCTAATATCCTTTGATGTTTCTCACTGGTATTTTTTCTTTCTTGCTCATATTTATTCTGAAGTTCTGTTTGGATCTGAAGGTTGACGCATGTTTTATTATTCATGTTAATATTGATCAATGAAGGGAGGGGTTTCAAAGTTGTGATGCAGTTTTCATGTGAGAATGTATTCTATTGACAATGAATTAGTACAGTGCAAACTACTCAAACCAACGTATTTCAATAAATGTGTGGTTAAGCGTACACTTTTTTTTTTTAAATGTAATTCTGGGCACATTGTTTTGCTGTGACTGCAAGAAAGAACAGGGTTCATAGCACCAAGAGCCAAATGATTTCCAAGCCTTTTCCAGACCTTTTCTCAATGATTTTCCAAGACATTTTGAACCTTAATTCAGGCCAACACAACTAGAAGGGCAGAACTTGGAAAGAAAACACTCTATGCAGAGAAAACGGGCCTTTCTAAAATGAATTACCGGTAATAACTATGAAGAAATTTAAAGACTTTTTTTTATTTTTTCTGTAATTTAACTCAAAGACTTTCCAGACCTCAAAAAATCCAAAAACTTTCAAAGGATTTTCCCAACGATACGGACCCTGAAGAATGGCACGGCACTGTTGCAGTATGAGACACTATTTTGCTAACAAAATAGTCACATTACACAAAGTGTTGCCACAGGAAGCAATGGCCACATTGTGAGCAATATAGCTATATCATTAGCAAACCGATGTCTCATACTACAATTATGCTGTTCCATTCTTTCTTGCAGTCACAGAAAAAATCGCAAAGGAATTTTCTAATTGAACGGGTAATGTTTTACTTTTCCTCATGGAATGCTATGTATTAACTGCGTAATGCACACACAGTAATATTACATCATCTAAACAAAATTTGATTCATGACCCTAATCATTCTTTTTTTACATACATGTATGTTGCCTTGTTTAGCAATGAACAATCTAATCGCAAAATGTTAAACAAATCTAAAGACATTCATGCAATTGTTTTTTGCAATTTGAAAAAAACTAACATCAGTTTTTGTTCACACTGTAAATGAGAATGAACGCAACTTGCTATATCATGTAAAGTGCATGTTCACTGAACGACAATCCTGTTTTGGCTAATCTCCCTCTGAGTTTACTAAGTTTCCTGTATTAATGCTAAAATATGCATGTCCCAGCAATGCATGAATGTATATCATAGAGGAAACGGCTTTCTACGATACGCACCGGATCAGTTAACAGCGAACGAAACCACGCTGTTGATTAGTTACTGTCCTTCCCTGATCACATCCCACAACCAACGTAATGACAAAGATCTTGCCTTCAACTGTTTTCCCACAGACCCTAATCATTGTACACCATAAATTCAGACTCAAATTCATGTCAATATTATTGTAGTAAAATGTCTGTTATGTTACTTTCCGCGATTTAACATTTGAGACCCTGGGCTCATGATCGGGAAAGTACAGTATTATCGTAACAAAGACAAAGCAAACTCTCAAGAAGAGTTCTGCAGTTTGACAAACCTGACAGAAATAAAGATATTTTGATGTGATATCAATCTTACTTGTAATGTTTTCTCTCTATGAGCAGTCACTTCCTGGGTATGTCTTGCAGTTAAATTACTGGCTTTAGAAGTCCACTCCGCTCGCATATTATCCAATTCAACAGTTCTTTCAGACAATGCCTGGTAAATACAAGTACATAACGCTATATGTAAGCTTCCAGATGTAGACATCATGGGTTTATCAACAAAATTCAGGGTGTGTAAATGAATGTATTTCGAGCACATCATTTCATTTTTGAGTACTTGTAATCTACAATCTACACACTATCAGAGGTTAAGAAGACCTCTACAACAAATAAATACATGTACTGTATGCAGGGATTTTTTTTAAACAAGGGAACAGAGGCACTGAGCCCTCATGCCTCTGGCAACCATAAAATTCTGAATGACCAGGGATCACATGAGGCCACAGTTGATGAGGCCACAGTCTTCAACTGTGGCCTATCTGATAGTAATTTTGGCCAAGGAAGCCATAGAATGCTCCATTTTAATTTAGAATTATCAAAAACTCCACACCCTGGTAGGGAGAACTCTATCTCCCACACTTGGTGGCACCGCTGAATTGCAGTGCTCCCTCTTGCATTTTTTTTCTGGAAAAACCCCTGCTGTATGTGTAAAATTAGAAGCAGTGGCTTCTATTAAAATGGGACAACGCAACAGAGGGGATGTTGCTTGTATTAGAACATCTACACATATGAGAAATTATGATTTTTTGGTTCTCAATTGTTCAAAAAGAATGGGTGCGACTTCTATTAGGGATGCAGCTTCTAATATAGATTTTACGGTAGTAGCAAATCACTATACGTAAATGACAAATACAATACACTCAACTGTTGGTTCACATTCACTTCTAACAGAGCAAATACGGTAAGTGTGGTTGGTTCTGCTTAAGAGCAGTATGCCGAGAGTTTCTCTTATGTCCAGATGACTGACAGTGCTTACAATATCATTTTCAATAAAATTTACTGTTAACATGTTAATATTGAGGCAAATGTTTATTAAAATGATTGCCACTGGTTGATTTTCGCTGCTAGAAATTTTCACTATTTGTAGATCTTATGGGCCTTTGTAAAAACAAAAATTCTGCAGTTCAAGTAAAGGAGTTGAATGACAAGCTGATGTTAAAGCGAGAGGGTCGTCACCTGCGCGCACACGGGAGGGAATTCAGTCCCAATTGATGATAACACACGCTAAAAACGCCAAGGCTCATGGGTAGACGCTTGTTTGTAAAGAATGACATGATATGGCCATCTGATGCATGGGCAGGTGACGCTTTAAGCAGTTATTTGCTTTTGGTACAGTTCAGAATGAGTGATCTTATGGAAAAAAAAAAGAATATATGCACCTCTTGTGTTTGCTTCAATCGATGATTGAGTTCGCTCTCAGTTGCAGCTAATCTGTTTTGAAGAGCAGATTTTTCATCCTGTGAAGAAAAAATCAAATTGGATGTAATTTCAACTTAAAAATCACTTTGAAACATTAGAATGCAACTTGCATGAATCAAAGTTAGCACACCTGAAATAAAATAAAATAAAATAAAATTCAAGGACTTTTCAAGACTTTTTGCAGACATTTTCCAGGAGAATTGGTCATTTCTTGGTAATTTTGTCGGAATATTTGTTTTCAATTTATCAGTGATTTCAATAAACCATTTTGCGACAGAAATGGCTTTTTATGCGGATTATTCATTTTCCAGGACACCTTTCAATTCCCAGAACTTTCCAAGTATATCCCAGGACCACAATAACCATGACAAATGCACCTCAGATTGTCCAATTTCACTAAGAAACATGGGATCCTCACAAAGTTTCACAATATTAAGGTTCTAAAGAAACACTGCCCACGTCTTATTGCAGTCACATAAATACTGTAAAACATGTCTTTTTCGCGAGCATGTCTTTTTCGCGAATTTAGCGAGAGAACTGAATCGCTAATTCAAGATGTAGTTAATGACTTTATTAACAATTCAAAATGGCCGCCAAACAAAGAAATCAACAATGACAAGAGAGATTCGCTAAATCAACATTTCACTATTACGACATTTTACCACAATTTGCTAAAATTGCATGCCCCTTTTTTAACATGTTTTTACAGTAATCAAGACAACACTAAGAACTAAGATTAAACATTTTATTGAAGGAATATATTATATTACTAAGAGAATATAGCTTCCATACCTTGAGTTGTTTGAGACAAGCAGCTAAGTATTTCTTGACATCAGCGTCATTACCAGGTACAAATTTCAATGAAAGATGGGTTAGATGTTTGAATGGATTAGTCTCTATAACATTTAAATGGGATAATCCTCTCTCTATTCCACCAGATGTTATCAGTTGAAGAAGAAATCTGAAACGAGAACATTTTCAACGCATAATTCTGCATATTATAATAATTGTAGTTATTCTACATCAGACGCCGGAAACAATAGTAATCATTAGTCCGAGAAATGTAGAATTGAAGTATTGAATGTTTTCCTTATTAGTGATGTAGCGTGTGACGGAAATAGAATCCGGTGACTGAACAGGAATGTTTTTTGTTGTTGTTCTCTCATTAAATTATTATAATATATAAGGTTATCACAATAATATGGCAAAGTATGCATGAATGCAGTATGACAATTGTATCAACCAACGTGTAGCAAAGGTTCGTGTGGTTTCCGTACTGGCAGAGTAATAACCTCATGATATTCAAGTGATGTATAACCTACAATATGAGGCAAACTTCGTGTTAATTGAAACATTACATTATTCTTTGTTGTTTTCAATTTTGCTTTCAATCATCGGAAAGCAAGAACACACATTGAATATCCCATTATATTCGACAAATAAACAATGGAATGTACATTTGTGATCAAATGATTCACTGTGTTCAATAACGCATGTAAACTACAAAAAAACCCACTATTTTCATGTTCCACGCAATTGCTTTGCTCACAATCAAACTTAATTTTAAGTTAAAAATCTAAATCCATAGATGCCATTTAAAAATGGTTTTGTTTCTCCATTGTATTTGAATCTTAGAATATGAGCAGTTTTTACCGTAGTCTAGTTACAAGTTTGTCTACAAATTCGTTACAAAAGTTTTCTACAGTTGTAATATTACGATGTCCAGACAATGTTCATTTCTATGGCCACAATGGGATATTCCTTTTCAACATACCGTACTCGACCGCGTAAACGCCCAGGGGCCTCAACTCAGAAAATCACGATTTTTTAGGGGTGGGCGCTTACCTGAGCATCCCCCTCGAAAAAGAGTGCAAATGAAAAATTTGATTCATCAAGTGACAGATTACGTCTTTGGGGGAAAATCGAATTACGAAATTAGTTAAATCGTCATTGATTTTCACAATGAAATGAACAGAAATGATCAAAAAAAATATGCACATTTACAATATTAATTACGTACCATCAGAATTTACGAAATTAAAAACATTTGAGTCTGTTGGAACACAGTCAAAATTGTCATATTATCTCCACTGACGAAGGTGTTGGATCGTACGCAAACTCTCGATGAAAATCACTTTCCGCCATGATGCATTTGCAGATTTGACCTGCAGCAGCATACTTTGATCTAATGGGTCAAGTTGGTTATTAACCAATCAGAATGCTGTGTTGTACTGGCGCAATTCTTCGTAAAAATTTCCGAAGACTTTCCGGTAACGCAATGCGGAAGTGAATTATCGATGTTGAAGTACGATCTGTTGGAATTGATTTCAGCGAATAAACGACATGGTTTTTCTAAAAAACTAATAACTAGCCATTTTTGAGAAGTAAACTGAATATGGCATGAAATATTTACCGCATTTTATTTGCATTAACAGGTCATTGTCGAGGCGTAGTTTACGCACGGTTACTGTGTTCTACACATTCACAACATGTTCACAGCGGTCGATATCCACGCTGTATCATATAAAAACGATTACTAAGATTCGTTACGCAAGACCAAGTTTTAAATTACCGGTAGTTGCATTTTGAAGGGGTGGGCGCTCTGCCGAATGTGACCCCAAATATAAAAATTGCGCAAAAGTGGGGGGTGGGCGCTTGCCCGGGCATGGGCGCTAACACGGTCGATTACGGTATATTTGTAATGTGTCACCGTTACGTGGGTATACAAAATGTATTGGAAATACCCAATATACAAAAGAAACTGACAGGAAAAACGATTTTTCATGAATACCGGTTAATTTTGGCACCCACTGACCAGGCAGCATACAATACAAAGGTGGATGAAAGGTAGTGAACCACGGGGAAACATCACACATGCCTCATTCCCTTCACCCATTTCCATAGCCACAACAGAATAATTTTGCCGCCCACTGCCAAGAATTATAAAACCAATTTTGGTACCTACTTTGGTGACTCTTTGGACTCCTCTTCAAGACACAACTGAAGGAGATCGATAAATTTTTGTGGAAATGCACTGAAATCTACCAGTAAACCCTGCTGTGCTTTTAAACTACAAAAAAAAAACATTACATCATGATTGAACAATAAGTTGCTAATAATTTGTAAAAGTATTTGAGGATTTGTCCGAAAATCATGAATTACTCCTGCCTATTAGAAACAGAGAACATGTGAGAATCCTTGTGTATAGTAACATTTCAAAAGTGTTAGCAAATGAAATTCTAACGGACAATCAAACAGAAATCAAGTTTCATGTGAATTGACATCATCAAATATTTCCCAGAAAAACGAATTTACTATAAAGTTTTATGAATGATCTTTAAGCAGCATGCTTCTCAAAGGTCAAAGCCAAACTACTAGTACATATAATAGAGAAAATAGCAAAGATAACACATTTTCTGCAGCAATGTAGAAATTTGTCAGTAGTCTGACAAAACCATGTTTAATTTAATGTACAATATAAG